GGGACCCCGTGGGCCTGCTCCTCCGTCGGCGTCACGCTTGCCGTCGTCACTCCGAGTGACGACGGCGAGCGTGACGGCAGGGGAGCAGGCGGCTGGGCCGAGTGACTCCGGTTCAGCGGCAGGGGCAGGCGGCGCGCGACAGTGCGAGAACGCGCGGGCGTTCTACGATGCCTTCCCAAGTCCCCGTTTCAGGAGGTCGGCATGTTGATTTGTTCTGCAACTCAAAATCGTTGCGGCTCCTTGGGTCTGCACGCCCGAGATGGGCACTGAAAGAATGGGCACGATGCCCAACAGCAGTTCCTGTTCCTCTTGAACAGGACTCGCTGTCCGCGCCGCCGCGGCCTGTGTCCGTTTGAGGCAGGAGGCCGCCTGCCCGACAGCGGCCGCTGTTGGTTCGGGACAGCATTTGCTGTTGGGCATGGTGCCCATTCTTTCGGTACCCATTTCGGGCGTCCAAAATTGGGGGGGTGCGGCCTCGCAACACTCGAGGGAGGGAGATCCACCCCGACCCCCACGGGTGGTGTTTGCTGGGCGGCCCCGGGCGTCGGCTCCACGGCCCTGCCGCGTGTGGCCTCCCCCCCTCACTCGGCGGCGGGTCTGCTGGGCGCCCTCGCTCGTGGGGGTACCTGCTGTAATGGTGGCTGTTCGGCCTCCTCCTCCTCCTCCTCCTCCTCCTCCTCTTCCTCCTACTCCTCTCTTCCTGCTCATCTCTCTCTCTCTCTCTTTCTCTCTCTCTCTCTCTTTCTCTCTCTCTCTCTCTTTCTCTCCACCCGATCGAGGTTCGACTCAACAGCAGGGCCTCGTGGTCCGCCCGCCTTTCTGTTCTCTCCTGCCTGGCCAGCGCCGCAGTGAGGCCGTGGCTGGCAGTGGCCCCCTCGCCCCTCCCCCTCTTACCAGCTGGAAGCATATCCCTATGCTTGGCATCAGCTTGCCTCGGTGCCAATCCTAAGGAGTCCCTTGGTTCCTGAAGGCACATTCCTAAGATCAACATTGCCCGGGATCATGTCGGGACCTCGGGGATAGGGGGTTCGTGCGAGGCCAGTTGCCCTTCACGGAGGCTCGATAACATGTGTGCACGGGACCCCGCCCGGGGTCGGCTGGGGCCAGGACGAGGATAAATCCGTCCCAGGGCGTTCCGGAACGCTCTCAGAGCGTTCCAGCACGCTCTCGGAAGGCCGCAGCGCCCGAGACCTCCTCCAGAGCCGCCCCATCCCTTCCTCCTCGTCCTTGCTTCGTCTCACCCGTGGCCGCCCCTGGGGCAGGGTGCACCGGCCTTGCGGCCTGGCCCCGGGAGTCGCCCCGCCCCGAGCGTGCACCCCCCGCCAGGGGCCTCCCTCCGAGCCTGGCCTGGCCTGGTCTCGCAGGCCGGCTGGGGCAGGAGGCTGCCACGCCAAGAATCAGGAGGGAAAGAAACACACAGACAAAATTAATCGTCGATCCCCCAGAAAATATGGGAAAATATTGGAAGTGGGGGGGAAGACAAAAGCCCAGAAAATATAGGAAAATATGTGGGATATGTTTATTTGTGTGTATTTATTTTGTGTCCCAGGGCCCCTTCAAAGAAGCACCCTGCCTGCCTCCAGGGCGCCCTGCTGTTCGGAGGTGGCTGGGCCTCTTCTCCTGACTCGGAGGCGAGCGGGGGGGGGGGAAATGAGAAGGAGAAGGCCTTCTCAGAAGGCGGCGGGACTTCTCAGAAGGCATCCGGCCGTCTGAGGAGTTTTTGTCTGTCCTCGGGGAAGGCTTGGGAGACTCTTCAGAAGCCCCGGGAACTTCCGAGCCTTTTGAGAAGGCCTTCTCCTTCTCACTTCCCCCCTGAGCGCGCCGCCTACTGACACGTTGATTTAGGAATCAGCCGCTTTCGGTTGGCGAGAGGGCGTCGCGGCCGTCATTCTTGCGGGTCCAGGTCCGTCGGTTTCGGTCCCAGGCCGTCTTCACTACAGGGAGGCTTACTGAAGGGAGGTCTGTCCACCGCCGAGTTGTTTTCATGGGAAGAGGGGTCCTGGAGGGGTTGTGCGGGATGTCTTGCGCGGTCTTGTGTTAGCTCCTTGTATTGGGTTCTGGGCGTCGTTTCGCGTTCTTTGCTTCGTTCTTGCCCTCCTGAGACCACCGTTTTTCGGTGAGCAGTGGACGCCGCCCACGCGGCCAGGAGGTCGTCTTGTGCGCGTGTTGTGCGCGACCACTCTTCGCTCGACCATTGTTTCTGTTCCAAGGTGTCGATTTCTTGGGTTCCGCTGGTTTTGCGATAGGAAGCTTGACGTCCCCACGCCGAAAATCACTGGAAGTCCTGGGCTCTCAGGGTCTGGTGTCTTGTGGAAGGCTTCCTGCTGCTGCATTTTTGGAGCTGTGCTTCCGAAGCCTCGTCGGAGCTCGTGCTGCCATCCTGCCCCCCCCCCCGCCGTGCGTCCCCCCGCTCCCCGCCTCCTCCGTCTTCCGCTTCCTGGGCCCCCCCCCCTCCTTCTTTTTCCTCGTCCTCCTCCTCCTCCACCTCCCTCCTCCTCCTCCTCCTCCTCCTCCTCCTTCCTCCTCCTCCTCCTCCTCCTCCTCCTCCTCCTCCTCCTCCCCCACCTCCTCCTCCTCCTCCTCCTCCTCCTCCTCCTCCTCCTCCTCCTCCTCCTTCTCCTCCCCCTCCTTCTTTTATCCAGCTGGAGGGCCTCCGCAGCCGTCGGCCGTCGCGCGACGCCCGCAGGGAATGGAGCCCAACTACATGCTCGAGCCCGAGCCGCAGCAGGCCGGAGCCGCGCGCCAGGGCAGGGGGCGGGCCTTTCCTGGGCGAGGGCGGGCGCAGAGGGAGGGCTCCGCCCGCCGAGGGGGGGGGGGGGGGCGGCGGAGGGGGAGCGGGAGGCGAGGAGAGGAGGGGGGGCAGGGAGGGGCAGGGATGAAGGGGGGGGGAGGGGTGAGAGGAGGAGAGGGGGCAGGGATGAGAATCAGGGGGAGGGCGAAGGGAGGACGAGGAGGACGAGGGCGCGGAGGGGGAGGCGATGAGAGAGGAACAGGAGAGGAGGGAGGGGCGATGAGGGGAGGGCGGGGGGAGAACGAGAAGGACGAGGGGGAGGAGGAGGGAGGAGGAGGCGTAGGAGCGTAGTCTGTTAGAGGATCCTCTCTTTCCTTCAGCGGACTGCGGAAGACGTACAGTGGAGGCCCGTGCCAAGAACCACACTGCTCGCCTCCAGGGTGCCCTGGGTTTCTTGTGTATCGATGGTCTTGCGACGGACAGCGTGACGTTCCCACACAAAAGCCAGTGGACGTCATGGGGTCTCAGGGTTAGGTTTCTTGTGGAAGGTTTCTTGTGGTCGGGCCCCTACTGTATCCGCAGTGTCCGTATCCACGGCCTCACGGGCTGGGACTCTGAGCCACGTTCCCGTGGGTGCGGGGCGCCTTTGTCGCGTATCCAAGCGACCGCGTATCCAAGGGATCGTGCCTGGAAATACAGACCGCGAGGACGTGGACGTGGATTGTCGGATACGTTCGCCGCTCGTGAGGAGGAGGGGCGATGCATACCCACTCGCGTCGTGAACGTCGCAACTACACGTTGTTTGGGCAGTGTCCTGCTTCCCGCTTGATATGTTTCGGGGGGCCATGGCCGTCAAAACGACTCCGGCTTAAAAAGCGGGTCCTCGGAGGAGGGATGGATATTTCGGGGGGTCAAGGTGCGAGCGTCTGGGAGTGTCGCCATGAAGAAAATGGCCTGCCATGCAGCGATTTGTTTTACATGTGTTTCGGTCATTTTCGGCCTTCAGGTGGCGTCAACCAGGTGATGTCTTGCTCGCCTCTCCTTCCCCAGCTCCTGGCTCGTCCTGGTCCTGGGGTGTCGCTTCCTTCTCTGCCTTTCTGCTGCCGCTGATTTGTTGGGCCGTCCGCCGAGTGGGGCACGCACGACGAGATGCTTCAAGCCTTTCCTGTCCATGGAGCCGGCGAACGGTCGTGCACAGTGGAAGCCCATGCCAAGAAACACCCCGCTTTCCTCCATCGTTCGGGCTGGACAAGAGGGGGGATTTGGAAAGGGGGGGGGTACGAAATCTGCTGCATGCAGCTGGTTTCGGCCCCACCGAGGGGCCCATTCATAGATACATAGCCGCCTCCGGCGCCGGGAGGCGCCAGGAAAATCCGCTACGTGAGCTGATTCTCAAATCCCCCTTTGCTATCCCCCCCTTGCGCCCGACCCGAAGGGTGTCCTGGACTTCTTTTGGGCCTCGATGGTTGTCGTGCCACCCCGTTTGCCAACGCACCTCGGACGTGCGCGGCTTCTCTCTCTCTCGTTCCCCCTCGCTCGGCTTCGGGAGGCCTCCCGGCGCCACGGCGGGGCTCCTCCCCTCGCAGCTTCCGGCCCGCGCGCACCCCGCGAAGCTCGGAGGGCACACAGCTGCACAGAGGCAGGAAGCTCTGGAGGCCCGCCCGGAGCTCTTTGGTCCACGCGGGAGTCCGAGGCGGGAATTCATACATGGATCAATTTTCGGGGACCTCGACAGGCGGTGGATATGGATGTATTCGGGCCCCCAGGGGCCGAAATTTATCCCATATCCACCGCCCGCTGGGGCACCAGGACGTCGGTTCCCAGGCGGTGGACATGGATAAATCCCCGCCTCGCATGGATTCCCCTGGGTGGCGCCTCCGAGCGCCGATGTGAGAACTCCGCGCTGACCTCCGCAAGTCTCTGCCTGCGGCGTTGTCGATGTCCTTTCGGGCCGCCATGATGAGAGATGGGTCCCTGCAGTCAACCCGCATGGGAAGGATGGGCAACCTTCCCAAGGGTACCCTTGCATCTCTGCCTCCTCGGTCCGCCCGTGGCCACTTTCGCGGGCCGCGCCCCGCTCGAGAAGCGCTTCGAAATGGGCGCCCGAGGCCCTTGCATCCTTACCGCGCATCCTTGTGATACGGGCCGACTGTAACAGCTCGGGCCATGGATACTTTTACTGCCGCCCTCGGGCCGCCTGGGCGGACCGGCTACCGGCTCTTCACGCCACGCAGCCAGCCGCTCGTTGTTTGACTGCGGATTATGCCGGTGCAGAGGGAGGGGTTCGGGGGGGGGGAGGGCAGGAGGAAGGGGGAAGACCAGCAGGCAGATTCTGGGGCGATCGCAAACAGGGGTCAGGGGGGCGTGGATTAGCGACGGGTTCCGTTTTCATGGGAAACCGTGGGTGTCCACCGCCGAGCGAGGCGGCACCGGCCGCAGTTTGGGGAGGCGCCAAACCCATGGGTCGTTCATCCCTGTTAGCGCGCCCCCGAAGACTCAGGTTGGGTCTTGAGCGCTCGACTGCGCCCCCCGACCTTCAGCGGGATCGGGGGCGGCGGGTTCAGACGTCGTCCCGTGGCCGAAGGCCCTAGCGGGCTGGCAGGAGGGAGGGGCGCGGAGTCGGTGGAGCAGGCAGGGGAGAACAGAAACCGGCATGACCACTAATTAATTGTTTAGAGCCCCGCGCGGATTCCTTGGATCGGCGCTGGTGGCCCAGCGGAGCGCGCCATGGGCGGCGCTGGAGGCGCCGCCAGGGGAGGGGGGGGGGCCCAGCGCAGACCCTAGAAATCCGCGCGGAGCTCCAAGAGGTGATGTTTCTCTAGCTTTTCGCTCCTCTGGGGAGAGGGAGGGGCTGGAAGGGCTCGGGGCTTCGCACGGTCAGGCCGCAGCCGGGCTGGCCTCCGCAGGCCGTCGCCTCCAGCGGCGCGCCCGTGGCGTGGAGCGCCTGCTCTGGGAGCTGTCTGTGCCAGGTGGATCGAAGAAAAAAGACACGTCATAAGTTACGACGTTTTTTTTTCGATCCTCCTACCATGGTTATGGCTCTGGTGATGACTCATAGCCATAAGCTGTCGGCGCTCCGCGCGGATTTCTTGGAGCGGCCCTGCCAGCCCAAGAAATCCGCGCTGAGTTCCGAGGATTTGCGTCTACGATGTTCCGCTGGGCAACCCCCAGATGGGGTCTGAGCAGATCCGGTCGGGGAGTCGCGCCGTAACGCCGATACATCGGCGATGTGGGCTCGATGTAGAGTCGGATTTTCTCCGCGCCGACGTCACCGACGCATCTCCGATGCTTCGCCGATGCGTTGGCTGTGCGGCGCGATCTTCCGACCTCATCGACTCGGACCCCATGGGGGAGTCCAGTCCTCGTCCTCGTCTTCCCCCCTTTCCCAAACTCGTTATCCTACCCCTCCCTCCTCGTCCTCCATGTCCAGTCCACCTCCTCATGGTCGTTGTCCCCCTCCTCTCTGCTCCCCTCTGCTCCCTCCTCCTCCTCCTCTGCTCCTCCTCCTCCTCCTCCTCCTCCTCCTCGTGGTCCCTCCTCCTCCTTCCCCTCTGCTCCCCTCCTTCTCTTGCTCCTCTCTCTCCTGCTCGGTCTCTCCAGCTTGTGGCTCTTCCGTGCACGCGACGGCGGCCGCGGCCGCGCCGAAGGCGTTCTTCCCGTACGACACGCAGTACCTGAACACGAGCACGCGGGCGGCCCGCGCGCGAGGAGGATCGGGATGAGAAGTTGGAGGAGGAGGAGGAGGAGGCGGAGGAGGAGGAGGAGGAGGAGGAGCACGAGGAGGAGGAGGCACGAGGAGGAGGAGGAGGAGGAGGAGAGGAGGAGGAGGAGGAGAGGAGGAGGAGGAGGAGGAGGGAGGAGGAGGAGGAGGAGGAGGAGGAGGAGGAGGAGGAGGAGGAGCAGAACGAGGAGCGTTTGGAGGGGAAGTGAGTGGGATGAGCACGATGAGAAGAAGGAGGAGGAGGAGGAGGAAGGAGGAGGAGGGTCAGCGGGGCCCTGAAAGGTGCGTGCGGGGGGGAGGGGGAGGGGGTCGACGGCTGCACCTTCTTGGAGGGCACAGGCCGCCAGCGTCAGCGTCGGCAGGAGGAGGAGGAGGAGGAAGGAGGAGAGGAGGAGGAGGAGGAGGAGGAGAGGAGGAGGAGGAGGAGGAGGGGATGATGAGGAGGAGGGGGGGAGGAGGAGGAGGAGGAGGAGGAGGGAGGAGGAGGAGGAGGAGGCGGAGGAGGAGGAGGAGGAGGAGGAGGAGGAGGAGGGGGGGTAGCATGAGCACCGCGTCGCCGGGTAGGGAGGTTCTGAGCCCTACCCCCCCCCCGCCTCCATCCCTCTTCGCTCTCCGCTCTCCTCCTCTATTGAGCCCCCTCCGCCCCTGCTGCTCTCCGAGGCCCTGTCACGCGGGCACGCAGCGCAACCGAGTCGGCGCACCCCCCTCCTGGATGCAGCCGCTGCTTGGAGCCCGGCCACCCAGCACCCGTCGTATACCCCTTCTCCTCCTGGCTTCCTCTCCCGCGGCCGCCGCCCGCGTGGTTGGCGCAAGGGTGACTCTTGGCTCGGTGGTGCAAAGATGGGGTCCCGAGGGACGGGGTGCTAAGGACAGGACGGGATCCAAGGGTGGATCTTATTATACACTGTTCGAGGCACCTTGTCCTCAGGATCCCATCGCCCGGGACCCAGTCCTTGAACCACCGAATGGCGTGGGGAGGAGGTGCGGCGAGGAAACATCTGCACGAGCATCAACTTTTGGCGCCCCGCGCGGATTCCTTGGGTCTGCGCTGCCGCCCCCCCCCCCCTCTCGCGTCGCGCTCCGCAAGCTCGGGTCTGTGCGGACTCCGAGGACGCCCTCGAGGGCGCGCAAGTTATTCGCGCTCCGCGCCGCGACGCGCGCAGTTGGGAGCCCTTGTGACTCTCTCTTCATCCGCCGGAAGTTGCGGCTCGCGGCGGTCTTTGGACCTGGCGCCCGGTCACGTGGGCCATTCTTGGGGCGGGTGCGCGTCCTCTGGTCCCTTCATCCTTCACTCCCCCCCTCCTCGAGCAGAGAGAGAGAGAGAGAGAGAACAAGAAGAACGAGAGAGAGAGGGAGAGGGAGTCATCATCGTTTGACCGATCCCTAGCCCCATGCCCATCCCGATCTCCACCACTCCACCACCCCAGTTGGGGATAGCCCAGATCCCCATCTAGGGGGTAGATCGCCCAGTGTGGCCCGGGCCACGCCGGTGGGAATGGGGATCGGTGGGAACGATACCCAGAGCGAGAGAGAGAGAGAGAGACCCATATATCCCATCCGGCTGCTCCAACTTCTTCGATTCGTGGGCACCAGAGGTCTGGGGCGAGTTCTGCACCCCGAGAGTCCCTTCTCTGACGGCCCCGAGGCCCGGCGAGGGCCGCTGCCAGCCGAGCACGGCCCAAAACCTGCCGCTCCAGCGCTTCCGGAGCGTCGGGACTAAGGGGTGGCAGAGGCATCTCGGCTTGAGTCGTGCACGTCCCTCTACAGGAGGAATATTCAAAAACAGTTTAAAAAAATCGCATGGGGACCATTTTTTTCGTTTGTTGACTTTTTGTGTATGTTTCTGACCTATTACATGGTTCGTCCAGAATCCGCCTGTAGGGGGCCATGCCCGACCTAAATATCGGCGGGTGCGGGCCGCGGCGAGGTGTTCCTGAAAGCGCACACCTCCCAGGCGGACCTCAGGGCGCAGCTCCGCGAGCTCGAGGACCAGGCCCCCCCCCCGCGGGCCCGCGATGGCCGCGACATCTCCCCCCCCCCTCCCACGATGGGGTCGACGACGGCTGTGTGGGGGGAAGGAGGAGCGACACCAACACCACTAGGGGACCAACTCCGGCGAGGAGATCCACGATGCCTCGCCGAGCTGGGGAGAAGGGATGTCCCGAGCGAGAGGGGGGACCACACCACCAGGGGAACCCCTCCTTAGCTCCTCCCGCTGGTGGTCCCTGGTGGTGTTGGTGTCTGTTTCCCATGTTCCTACTGTGGTGCTGAGGATTCGACTCGGAGATCGACTACAGACCGTAGACACGCTAACGGCGATGTAGGCAGCGGCGATGTAGACTTCGGCATCGTAGGTGGGGGTGGTTCGTGGCCGACCCTGTCGTAGGGAAGCGTGGTCGTGGTCTCCTACAACTCTCCGGGTCGTCGTTGCTCGATACCTTTGCGTGTTTGAGCGTAGGAAGGTGTGGTTCGTGATTTTCTTCAACTTGTTCTGCGCGAGTCCGGCGTCGCAAAAAACATGTTCCCAACATCGCCGTTAACCAACATCGCCGTTAGCCTGACATTGGATGAACAATTGTTCGTCGAATCGAGACGAAATACGTAGATGGAATGTCCGCACATCAATCTCTACAAGCATTCTACGTATTTTGGCACGGGTTCGACGAACAACAGTGTTAGGTTACATCGATTCTGTAGTCGACCTCCCAGTCGAAGGAGCATGACGATGATCCGAAAAACAGAAACGGAACAAACATACTTTCTTGGAGGTCCGCGCGGATTGCTTGGATCGGCGCTGGGTCTTCCTGGCGGCGCCTCTGGCGCCGACGATTGCACGCTCCGCGCGCCAGGGACGGAAGGTTTGGCGCAGATCCAAGGAATCCGCGCGAACCTCCGAAAGTTCATTTCCCAATCACAGCGCTCGTATTGAAGGGTCCCAGCGGAGGTTGAAAGAGGCGGCACCGATTCTGGTGGGCGGCCAGAGTTCCGGATGGTCCAAGGTTCTCGGGGTCCCGTGCCCGGTATCCGTGCCGAGTTCGGTGGGCGCGACTTGCAGGTTCTCGGGCTCTTTGTTCCGAGTGTCTTGGTGCGGCCAAGGACCCAGGTCTTTGCGGTCATGCCCACAATTTTTTGTACATAGTACATCGTGAAGTGCAAGTCAGTACACCAGAGAGAAGCCCCAATCAGTGGATGGTTTGAAAATCAGTGGCATGGATATTGAGATCTTCAGTGACATCGATCGTGAGATCGACAGTCGGATCGATAGTAATGACGATAGTAAGGTCGATCGTGAGACCGATAGTGAAGTCGATTCAATGAGATCGATGGTGAGATCGATCGTGAGATCACTCGTACAATTTATAGTGATATTAGTTGGGATATCGATGGAGAGTTCGATCGTAAGGTCGATAGTTAGATCGATTGAGAGGTGGGTCATGAGATCGATGGTGAGACCGATCGATAAGGAGATCGACCAGGAGCCCGGAAACCCGGGAGCCCCATTGACCACCGAAATCGGCCCAGAACCAGCAACCGTGGGAACCGGGGAACCCGGATCCGGGAACCCGGGAACCCCACCGCACACCGAAATCGGCCCGTTCTTTTTTGTTTTTGCAAAACCCCGTCAGTACACGCAATTGATTGGGGAATATCGCAGAGAGCATAGCTGGGATATAGCATTGAGCATCCGGTATTTGCACACATGCGCGTATAAATATCTATGTGTATGTATAGATCTAGAATGGCTTTCGGCCAATCCCGCCGCCGTGCATGGGTTGTTGTGGTCATACAGGCCGCTAGGATGTTCGTTGGGATATCGCGGGAGGCCTCTCGGGAGCTTATTGGGGGCCGTGTGGGGACCTCTTGGGGGGCATGTTTGGTTGTTTGCGGGTTTCGTGGGGGGTTCTTCGGGCCTCTTGGGGTGCCTCTTGGCGTCGCCTCACGCGTCTTGACGGATGCATGGTCAGTGGTGGCAGTGGGTGGTGGTTTGCCTTTTTTGGCTCTTCTTGAGGCTGTCCTGAGCGCCTTTGGGGCCGTCTTGGAGCCCTCTTGCCCTCTTGCGCCGTCCAGGGGCCCTCGGGGGGGTCTTGGGCAGTCTTGGGGCGGTCTTGGGGGCCTCTTGGGTCATGGAGCGTTCGAAGCTCGAACAGTCTAGGGCCCCCCAAATCCTGAACAACCTAAGGAAACATACTGACTTTGAACTGTCGGGGCCATCTTGTTGCGGCTCTTGGAGGCCTCTTGCGACGTCTTGGGCGTTTTCGGCCGACTCGAGATCATTTTGTGCGTCTTGGACCGATCGTGACTGATACGGGGCCCTCTTGGACCGTCGTGGGGCCCTCTTGGGCTGGCTACGCTACCCGGGGACGCACGCGACACACTCTGGGAGCCCCCCGTAATCCATTGAACTCCCCGGGAATCCTAGTGAAACCAGTAGGCAAAACTTTTTATTCGACGGGCTGCAGGAGCCTTCGAGCATTCCAACACGTGCTGAGGGCACGGTGGCGGACACATGAAAGCCAGCGTGGACCCTGGACCGCGTGTTTCTAGCAACCTGTGTGGTGCAATCGATGTGGAGCAATCCATGTGAGGCAATGTGCAGTCGGTCCTGCTAAGTCGTTCCAGGTGTTCTGGCGCTGGCGCCTCGACAGGAATTCGTATCTTCAGAAAGTGTAGAACAGTCGCCACACAAGAGTCCCGATTTTTCGTATCGCCGCAGCGACGCCCAGATTTGTTTGTTATGGAGTGGTGCTCTCATTTCAGCTCCAGCCACGTCCGTAAGTGATGACGGTTCTCCAGCTTGGGCGTTGCCCTTGCTGTCCCAACAGAGCTCGCGCCTGCGGAGGGACTTGAAGCGGCGCCTGCGGCCGTTCCGGAAATAGCGCAGGAGCGTGGCGTTTCTCCATAACATTGTGGCATAGCCACTGAAAGAGTTATCAGGGTGCTAGAGAAGAAGCCGGTAGGATCGGCTAGGCTATATTTTTTTCTGCGGTTACTGGCCAGGGAAGGGAGCGGCGCAGCGTCTTGCCCGAGTCAGCATGTCCCGGCTTCTGACTCGTGCCCACTACGTGGGCCGCAAGCGTTTGCGCAGCTCCTCGCGCTCCGTGAGCTCGGGCGCAGCTCTTAGGGAGTGCCTAGGCAGTTCGAGGCAGCGCTATACTTCAGGCCTCGGGCCCATGGCCCACATACAACAAACAGCGTCAAGGAGAGAAGGGACAGGAGAGAGTCAGGCACACAGTTCCAGCACAGCTCTTTGAGGGAGCTGGTAGGGTTTGAGAGCGAAAGTCAGCAGGCTGAGCTAGGCCAGTTTCCTCCCTCCAGCCGCTGGTGAGGGAGCGCCGCAGCGATCTGCTTGATCTCGCAGCGTGTCCCGCGACCACTTTCTTGCGCATTTCCACCACGTGGGCCGCAAGCGTTTGCGCAGATCCTTCGCACCGCTTCCTGCACTCGCGCGGAAGCCTTTGGCAGTTCTTAGGCAGCGCTTCCCAGGCCCGTGGGTTGCAAACAAACAGTGTGATGGGGGAAAGAGAGAGAGAGAGAGAGAGCAACAAAACAAAGAAAGAGAGAGAGAGAGAGAGTGAGAGAGAGAATCGGGCATAAAGTTCCGGGATAGCCCGAGGAGGTTGATAAGGGGTTATCGACAGGTGGCGGTCCGAATTTGGTTAATTTCTTCCTTGCAGCCGCAGCGTGTCCCGCAAGCGCTTTCCTAGTCAGTCCCAAAACGTGGGACGCAAGCGTTTGCGAAGCTCCTTCGCAGCTCTTCCTGCACTCTCGCGAAGGTCCCAGGCAGCTCCTAGGCAACGCTTCCCATGCCCGCGGGTCGCAAACACAGTGTGATGGCGGGTAGGGTAAAAAGAGGGAGAGAGAGAGAGAGAGAGACAGGGACAGAGAGAGGGCTGGCCGATGTTGAGCCTCGTGCCCAGCATCTGGCCATAATAGTTCACAAATGTGGTTGAGGCCTTGCTTTGACCCCGCACCATAATCACCACCATCAGCATCAGCCCCATGAACTCCTCGCTGTACAGCGCACGATTCAGCCACAGTCGCCACCACTAACATCATCATCATCATCATCATCATCATCATCAGCATCATCATCATCAGCATCATCAGCATCAGCATCAGCATCAGCATCAGCATCAGCATCAGCATCGTCATCAACATCATCATCGTCGGCATCACTATCATCATAGTAATCACCATCGTCATCATCAGCATCGTCATCATCATCATAATCATCATCATCGTCATCATGATTATCATTCTCAGTATCATCATCATCAGCAGCAGCAGCAGCAGCATCATCATGATTAGTATGTTTGCCAGCAAGAGCAGCAATGAAACACCACCAGCATCACCCTGCCGCCTCTCCGTGCCCGCCGCACCCCACCGCTGCGCGGGCGCTGCTAGTCCGCGCCCACCCGCGGCCAGGTCTGGCTGTCGCCGCACACGGCGAAGGCGTGGCCCCCGATCCTCCCCGACTCCTGGGTTGGGAGCCGCACGTGCCACACCGCCCTGGGGGGCCGATGGGCCACCACGGGCGAGGAGGACCCGGGGCCAAGCGCTGCCCACGCCCTCTGCTCCCTGGGGCCCTGGCAGACCCGCTCTCCAGGCACGTGTGTATGTGAGTGCATCGAATATTTCGATGTCTGTCCATATATATCTATATATACATATATAAATATGTGGTCGACCCCCGCCCCCAGCACCCCCAGACCACCCAAACACAAACGAAGCACACATGTGCATCTTCACACACACACACACACACGCTGTGTATGTAAGATGCCGGAGTAACTTAGCCCCGGGCTGGGACACCTTGCCGGATGATCTTCCCCTTGACTCTCCCCCCAAACACCTACCGGGGAGCGCGGATAGTCGACGAGATCGACGCAATAGGGTCCGAGACGCCAAACGATGTACGAATAGCCGCCGAGAGGCTCCCATCACGCCCCAAGAAGGCTCCAATGTGGTCTACAAGAGGGCCCAGGATGGCCAAAGTTCCTCCTATCGTTCAGCAAACGTATGTTTGGAGCAGATCCCCTTCTCAGCTCTTCGCAGCGTCCACGGCGGCCGAAGAGGCTACCAAGATCGCCCCAAGACGGCCCAAAAGGCCCCAAGAAAGCCCAGAGTCGCCCAAGAGAGCGGTCCAAGAGGCTTCCAAGCAAGTAGGCTCAAGATTTCCCCAGCAAGGGGCTTAAGGCGGGGAGCTCCAGCTCACATGTCGAGACCTATGCCCCAAGTTGACCCCCCACACCGCCAGCAGGCCCCCAGCCCAAAAAAGGCCACAGGAGACCCCCAAACAGCCTCCAAGAGGCCACAATAGGCTTCAAAGCAAAACTGGACTCCCAGAGGCGCCCGCCTGGCAGATATCCCCGAAACCCTGACCGGGAACCCAGGCACGGTGGCGGCCTGAGCCGAAAGCCAGTAGATCCGCCGCCCCCTGTCGCTTGCAGGAGGGGTGCCTGGCGTGCTGAATCCTCTCGGTTTGGGTTTTGGTTTTTTTTCTAAATGAACTCCCCCTGGGGCTTCGGCGCGTCCCGCCGTCCACCCGAAAGGATTGCCCAGACCCTTCGGAGGTGGTTGCCGAGGGTTTTCCTGCTCCAGATGGACGACGGCCCAAGATGGCCTCCAAGACGGCTAAGATGACCCCAAGATGCCTCCAAGACGGCCCAAGATGCACCCAAGACGGCCTGAGATAGCCTCAAGATGGCCCAAGACGGCCGGAGAGGCCCCCGAGAGGCCTCCAAGACAGCCCAAGAGGCCTCCAAGAGTCCTCCAGAAGGGGCCAAGAGGCATTTGTTTTTAGGTTTTTCGAAGGACTTTGGCATTTGCTTCATTTCGGCCTCCCGACGGCTCAAGAGGGCCCAAAGGCCCCCACGATTGTCCTAAGATCGCCCACGAGGCCTCCAAGATGGCCCGATGACGGCCTAAGAGGCCCCCAAGACTGCCCCAAGAGGGCCCCAAGACGGCCCAAGAGGCCTCCAAGACGCCCAAGATGGCCTCCAAGACGGCTAAGATGGCCCCAAGATGCCTCCAACACGGCCCAAGGTGCACCCAAGACGGCCTGAGATAGCCTCCAGATGGCCTAAGACGGCCCAAGAGGCCTCCAAGACGGCCCAAGAGGCCTCCAAGAGGTTTTCCAGGAGGGCACGAAGAGGCCAAAATCATTGATTTTCTTAAGGTTTTTGAAGGATCGTGGCATTTGCTTCTTTTCGCCATTCCGACGGCTCAAGACGGCCCAAGAGGCTCTCAATATCGCCCACGAGGCCCCCAAGATGGCACCATGACGGCCCAAGAGGCCCCCAAGACGGACCCAAGAGGGCCCAAGGAGCCTCCAAGACGGCCAAAATGGCCTCCAAGACGGCTCAGATGGCCCCAAGATGCCTCCAGGACGGCCCAAGATGCACCCAAGACGACCGAAGATGGCCGCAAGATTGCCCAAGACGGCCCAAGAGGCCCCCAAGAGGCCTCCAAGGCGGCCCCAAAGGCGTTCAGGAGGTTTTCCAGGAGGGCCCCAAAGGCGTTCAGGAGGTTTTCCAGGAGGTTTTTCAGGGTCCAGGTTCCAAGAGGCCAACATCATATATTTTCCTCAGGTTTTCGAAAGATTTTGGCGTTTGTTTTTTCTCGGCATTCAGACGGCTCAAGACGGCGCAAGAGGCCCCCAAGATCGCCCAAGAGGCCTCCAAGATGGCCCCATGACGGCCCAAAAGGCTCCCCAGACGGCCCCAGGAGGTCGCCCAAGAGGCCTCCAAGACGCCCAAGATTGCCTCTAATAACCCCTGATATGCTCCAAAAGGGCCCCAATACGACCCAGACAGGCCCCCAAGACGGCTTCCGACGGCGTTAGACAAGCCAGGAACGCCCTAAGACGGCCCAATAGGCCCCCAGCCCAAGAGGCCTCCTCCTCTTCTTTTTTCCTCATCCTCCCCCTCCTCCTCTTCTTGCTCCCCCATACGTTCCCCGAAGTCTTTCCAAACCGACTCGGGTAACAATTGGCCTGATAGCTTGGCCAAGCTGTGGCCCAGCTGTCGGCCACGGAGGCGCTTCCAAAGGGGCAGGGGGCGGCGGTGATTCGCCGTAGGCGTCTTCGATCCGCCGCCCCCTGTTGCTTGCAAGAGGGCTGCCTGGCGTGCTAGACCCTTTCGGTTTTTGGTGTTCGTTCTTTTCCAACCGAACTCCCCCTGGGCCTCCGGCGCGTTCCGCCAGCCAATCCGGAAACAAATATTCAAACATGGTCCAAGATGGCCTCCAAGAATGCCACGTTGGCCTAAGATGACCTCCAAGATGGTCCAAGATGGCCTCCAAGTCCGCCCAAGATGGTCCTTGACGGCCTCCAAGACGGCCCAAGAGTCCAAGATACCTCCAAGGTCGCTCGAAGAGCCTCCAAGACGGCCCAACACGACCCAAGAGGCCTCCAATAGGCCCTCCAGAAGGGTCCGAAGAGGCAAAAATCATTGATTCTCCATACGTTTTTGAAGGATTTGGGCATCTTCCTTCTTCTTGGCATTCCGACGGCTCAAGACGGCCCAAGAGGCCCCCAAGATCGCCCCAAGATCGCCCACGAGGCCTCCAAGATGGCCCGATGACGGCCTAAGAGGCCCCCAAGACGGCCCCAAGACGGGCCAAAAGGCCTCCAAGACGCTCAAGATGGCCTCTAAGGGGGCCCCGAAGCGCCCCAAGAGGGCCCCAAGTCGGCCCAGAGAGGCCCCCAAGACGGCGTCAGACGTGCCAGGGACCCACCAAGATAACCGACGATGGCCCTAAGATGGCCCAAGACGGCCCAAGAGGCCTCCAAGAGGGCCTCCAGGAAGGCCAGAAAAGGCCCAAACCATTTGTGTTCCCTGGGTTTTGGTGGCAGGATTTTAATATTTGCTTCTTTTCGGCATTCCGACGGCCCGAGATGGCCCAAGAGCCCCCACAGATCGCCCAAAGATCGCCAAAGAGGCGTCCAAGATGGCCCCAGAACGGCCCAAGAGGCCCGCAAGACTGCCCAAAGAGGCCCCCAAGACAGCCCAGGAGGCCTTTAAGACGCCCAAGGTGGCCTCCAAGACGGCCCTGGAGCATTCCAAGAGGGCCCCGAGTCGGCCCAGAGAGGCCGCACAAACGGCTTCCGACGGCGTCGCCAGGAGCCCACCAAGACTGCCGAAAATGGCCCTAAGATGGCCCAAGACGGCCCAAGAGGCATCCAAGAGAGGGCCTCCAGGAGAAAGGCCCGAAAAGGCCAAAATCTGTGATTTCCCATAGGTTTTTGAAGGATTGTGGCATTTGCTTTTTGTTCGGCCTTCCAACGGCCCGAGACGGCTAAAGTGCCCCCAAAGATCGCCCAAGAGGCCCAAGACGGCCCCAAGAGGCCCCCAAGACGGCCCAAGAGGCCTCCAAGACGCTCAAGATGGCCCACAATGCGGCCCAAGAGCCCCCCAAGACGTCCTCCAAGGAGGCTCGAAGGGGTCAAAATGGCCTCCAGACGGCCAAGAGGACTGACTTTGAATATGCCCACGTGTTCCCCGAAGGCTTTCCGAACCGATTCGGGGAGCACATGGTCCGATAGCTTGGCCGGTCTGGCCGCAACGTTCGGCCACACAGACGCCTTCCAACAAAAAGGCAGGGGGTCGGCGAGCCCTCGCCGCAATTAGGCGTCCTCGATCTGCCGCCCGCGGTTGATTTCTCGCCGGGGCGCCTGGCGTGCTAGATCCTGTGCGGCTGTTGGTGTTCGTTTTTTGTTCCAGCTCCTCCTCCTCCTCCCCCTCCTCCTCCTCCTCCTCCTCCTCGTCCCTTAGGGGCTTCGGCAGAGCGCACAGGCCACCCGGAAGATGTACGTGCCGATGCCTTTTCGCGCCCAAGATGGCCAGACATGGACTCCAAGCTGCCTCGCCGACGACCAGGATGGCTTCCAAGATGGCTTCCAAGAGGGCTCCAAGACGGCCCCAAGAAGCCCCAACGTGGTCCCAGGATGCACCCAGGACGGCCCCAGATGGCCTCAAGATAGCCCCCGCGGCGGTCTAGAAGGTTCGCAAGAGGCCCCCAGGAGGCCTCCAAGACGGCCCAAGTGGTCCCCCAAGAGGGCCCCCAGGACGGCCCGAAGAGACCCAAATCATTGATTTCCCTTAGATTTGTGCTGAAGGATTTCAGCATTTGTTTCTCTGCGGCCTTCGACGGCCCTGAACGGCCGAGCCCCCAGAGATCGCCCCAACGTCGCCGCCCAAGAGGCCTCTAAGGTGGCCCCAGAACGGCCCAAGACGCCCCCAAGAGGGCCCCCAGAGGGCCCCAAGACGGCCCCAGATGCTTCCAAGACGCCCACGATGGCCTCCACACTGGCCCAGGAGCACCCCAAGAGGGCCCCAAGTCGGTCCAGAGAGGCCCCCAAGACGGCCTCCGACGGCGTCAGACGGGCCAGGACTGCCCGGGGGAACACATGGACCGATAGCTTGGCAGAGCTCTTGCCACGACGCTCGGCCACGTGGGCGATTCCACAAGGCGCATCTTCGATCTGCCGCCTCCTGTGGTTTGCCACGGGGGTGCACGCAGTGCTGCACTTTGGGTGGTTTCTGGTCCCTGCAGACTCCCCCTGGGCCCCCGGCCCGATCCGCTGGCCACCCGAAGCACTCCCAAGTGTGGATCTCCATGGGCCCCCTTTCGGCTCGAAGACGGCCAAGGTGGCCTCCAGGGTGGTCTCAAAGACGCCTCCAAAAGGGCGAAGCAGGCCCCGAGAGAGACCGAGGTGGCCCAAAGATGAGTCCAAGACGACCCACGATGCACTCAAGACGGCCTGAGATGGCCCAAGGCGTTCCAAGAAGCTCCAATGGGGCCTCCCAGGCGTCCCACGAGGCCGCCGAGAGGACCCACAGGAATGCCCGCAGCGGTCAACCTTATTGATTTTCCGGCGGTTGTTTATTCAGGTTTTCGCATTTTGCGCCTTTTCGGCCTTCGAAGACCCAAGATGGCCCAACAACCCCCCAAGGTCGCCCCAAGATCGCCCAAGAGGCCTCAAAGATGACCCCATGGTGGCCCCAGAGGCACCCAAGCCAGCCCCGAGAAGGCCCAAGACGGCCCAAGAGACCTCCAAGACCCTGGAGCGCCCCACGAGGGCGCCAAGTCGGTTCAGAGAGCCCCCAAGACGGCTCCCGACGGCGTCAGACGGGCGAGGAATCTACTATAAGTCGGCCAAGACGGCCCAAGAGGCCTCCAAGAGGAACCCCGGGACGGGCCAGCCGAGCGATGCGGCCCGCGCAAGCGGCGACTCGAGACGACCGTGGCCCTCGAAGCCCGAAGGCCTTGGCGGCAGCAGCAGGGCCTTCCCTGGCGCTGCTGCTGCGACTGAGAACGGCAGTATCTGCTCGTCCCAGGAGTTGGAGTGCACGAGCAGAGGGCGAGCAGGAGGAGGGAGGACTGCGGGAGACGAGGGCAGGGGAGGGGATCGGGGCTCAAGAGGCGGGGTCAATGCAAACGGGGGTCAGCAGCCAGAGCGTCGGACGTTGAAGGATCCCGCAGAGCCAGAGCTGCATTGAACCGGAGTAGGGTGCAGGAACCTTCAAAGCCTGACCAACCCGGGTTTGGATTGGCCAGGGTCAGTACAGTGGAACCGATGCCAAGAAACACCCTGCTTGCCTCCAGGGTGCCGTGAGTTGATTGGGTTTCGATGGTTATGCTATGGCGAGCGCGAAGCTCCCAGACCCATCCAACAGCCATCGAAGAAGCCATCCGACAACCGTCCAGCAACCTCGAAACCATCAAACAACTCTTTGCACAACCAGCCATCAAAAGATCCATCCGAGAACCTTCGGTGGTCAAACAGCAGCGATTCCCAGAAAGAGGCCGGGGGAACGGGCGCGCGGCGCGCATGCACCGCATCGCAGGGGGCGGCCAAGGGCAGACGCACGCGCAACCGCGGCCGTCTCCCTGGGCGTCGCCGCCGCGCCCCGCCAGCCGCGCCCCGCTCCGCAGCGGTCGGGGCGCAGTGCAAAGTCGAGCAGCGGCGAAGCGTCCCGGCTCACCCAGAGGCCTACTAACAGATGTTCTAATACACCCTTTCGTGGTCTGCACGAGCTGTGCTTAGAACATGTCTGGCTGGGACTGTCTTGTTTTCTCACGTCGGGCTTATGTTCGAAGAACATTGTTTTTCTTACTAGAACATCTTGGAGATCTAAGAACATGTCGTGGTCGGCCTATAAGAATCCCGCGACGACCGGTCCCTGCTCCAAAACGGGGGTCAGCCAGAGCACCCGAAATCTCGCAGGATCCTGCAGGGCCAGGGTCGCATGGACCCGGGTCTGGGTTCCGAGGCGGGAATGTATCCATAGCCATCGCGGACCTCCACAGGCGGTGGATATGGACATATTCGGGCCCCCAGGGGCCAAAATATATCCATATCCACCGGCCGCCGGGGCACCAGGACGTCGGTTTCCAGGCGGTGGATGTGGATACATTCCCGCCTCGCATGGGTGCAGCATCCTGCAGGAGCCTGCAGGATCCTGCAACGCCCGACTGGCCCGGGCCTGGACGGACCTGGGCCAGCAGATCCCCGAAGCGGGCGGCTCGCGGTGCCGCGGGGGCGGGGCCGCGGGCCGAAGCTGCGCCCCCGGGGGGCCGCGGGCGGCCGAGGCTCCTCGGCTGAAGGGCAGAGCCCTGTCCGTGGGGCGGCCTTCATGCTCCATCCAGCCTCCTGCCTCCTGCCTCTCACTCCTCTCCCCCCCTCCCCCCCCCCCTCCTCATCATCTTCTTCTTCTTCTTCTTCTTCCTCCTCCGCTTCCTCCTCCCTCCTCTTCCTGCTCCTCCTCCTCCTCCACCCTCCTCCTCTTTCTCCTCCTCCTCCTCCTCCTTCTCCTCGCGCTGGGAGCCCACCGTCGCCGAGCTGCAAAAGGCGGGGAGGCGTAAGGCTTGAGGGCGCCAGAGTTCGGGGGTGCCGGCGCTTTCTGGCAAGCGCGTCCTAGGCTTCGGCGGCCCTCTTTGTTCGTGAGGTGTCTGCAGCGGGAGCTCGCGTCGAATTTCAGAGTGGGTCTCGTCCTTCTCCTAACGGCCCCGTCAGGCCAGTCCGAGTCCTCCGAGCCCGAGTGTTGCGTCTCTCCGACTACCAGGGGACGGGGCTGAGTAGCAGGTCGACCCTGCCAGATCAAGGGTACCTTTGTGTCTTGTGCTTCGCGGCCCATGCTTTCTGCATTCCTATGGCAACGTTGCCCTCGGAGGGGTCTTCTTCTGTCCTCGTATCAGGCGGGTGGCAAGGGGGGGTGACCCAAATGGAGGGTGACGAAAAGGGATCTAAAAGGAACCCGTTCCGACCCCTTTTGGCCCCCCCAAGAGGGGCCCCAAAGGGCCTTCTCATGATCCTGTTCGCCGCCCGCCGTGTACGTCACCTCCTCTTGCCGCCACCCGCCCGACTGCAAGAGACGGGCCTCAGTGCACACATGGGTTTCGATTGAACGGCAGTTTCTGCTCCTCCCAGGAGCTGGGGTGCACGAGCTGCAGCTGCAAGAGGGCGAGCAGGAGGAGGGGGGACTCCTGGAGAAGAGGGGAGAGGAGGGGATCGGGGCTCAAGAGACGGGTATCAATGCAAAACAGGGGTCGGCCAGAGCGCCAGAGCGAAAGTGGTACGGAAAGAGCGGGTGATTACGAAGACCGACAGCAGGTCTTGTCCGTGGGCAAGATTCGTTGTCGGCGTCGCCGCGGACAATGTCAATTTTGAGACAGGAGGCCGCTTGCCAAACAGCGGCCGTTGACAGTTTGTGGCAACATTTGCTAATGGGCATCATACCGGAGTCCGAAGCTTACCATCGCCGATCCACGATTCGGCCAATTCGGTGGGCCTCGGGGGTAGGATTCGGAGTCTGCCGAACGCGTGGCGAAACATCCGAGCCCGACCCTGAGCCCCCGATCGATTCAGGAGCATGGCAGGGTTGGGATGCCGCCGCCCACTCAGGGGCAGCGTTTGGGGAGGATCGGCTGTCCGGGGGATCGATCCTCGGAGGCCTGAATGGATGTATGGATGCATGGAGATGGATGCAGGACACAGGTCGAGGATCCTGACGAGAATGCTGTCGAACATCATGTCGAGGATCCTGTCGAGGATCCTGTCGAGGATGCATGGTATGCATCCCCTCGGAGGCCTCTCGGCAGGCGACGGGACGTGGGGATTTGCAGGATGCCGTCGGGCCCCCTGGGGTGGCCGAGCTCATCCACGTCCGCCGCCGGCCGAGGTCCTCGAAGGTCGCTCCCCCACGAGGAGGAGGAGGAGGAGGAGGAGGAGGAGGAGGAGGAGGAGGAAGACCAGGAGGAGGAGGAGGAGGAGGAGGAGGAGGACCAGGAGGAGAGGAGGAGGAGGAGGAGAGGAGGAGGAGGAGAGGGGAGGGGAGAGGGAGAGGGAGAGGAGAGGGAGAGGGAAAAGGAGGAGGAGGAGGAGGAGGAGAGGGAGGAGGAGGAGGAGGAGAGGGAGGAGGTGGACCAGGAGGAGGAGGAGGAGGAGGAGGAGGAGGAGGAGGTGGAGGAGGTTGAGGAGGAGGAGGAGGAGGAGGAGGAGGAGGAGGAGGAGGTGGTGACGTTGGGGAGGGGATGGGCTCAGGGGTGGACGCAGCAGCCCCAAATCGCCCACTTGTCGCCGATCGGGGCCCGATTGTCTGCCCTGCCCGGGAACGAGCGTTTTCGCTTTCGGGGGGCCTATCGCCGGTCCATCGGCGCCGTACCTCGGTGGCGAGTCTGGGGCGACGTGAGAAGGGGCGAGCCTTCTCAGAAGTCTCGGGAGTCCCTCGGCCTTCTGAGGGGTTTCCTATAAGCCTTCCCCGGAGGCGCGGGGACCTTCTCCGAAGGCGTTCGGGCTCCTGAGAAGCCCCGCCGCCTTCTGAGAAGGCCTTCTCCTTCTCGTTCCCCCCCCTCGCTCGCTGCCGAGTATCGCTAATTCCAGCTCGATGGATCCCCCCCGAGCTGGATCCGCCCTAGCGCTGCCCCTCACAGGAGGAGGGAGCGCGAGGAGGGGGAGGGGTCGGGAGGCGGACAGGGCGGGGGAGAAGGAGGAGGATGAGGATCAGGTGGTGAAGGAAGATATGGGTGCGCTGAGCATGAGCGGATTGAGGTGGAAGATGGAGAGCATATGGAAGACGCAGCAGGATGAGAGGCAGGGATCAAGCCAAACGGTGTTTTGTAGCGATTTCGTGGACCGTTTGCGTTTTGAGTTCGCTTCACAGCAGAGGCGGAACGAAAACAGACCGAAGGATAACGAACACAGAACTGAGTAGATCGAGCACTGTGCTGAGCGTGAGCGAATCGAGGTGGAAGATGGAGAGCAGATGGAATCTGGAGCAGGATGAGAAAGGGGGGCGAGGAGAAGGAGGAGGAGGGGGGCGAGCGGGTGGCGGGGGGGCACGCGGGAGGTGCGGAGGGCCCCTGGCCCCAGGTCGAGATCGTTTACACCACGTACAACCCCCATCTCAACTCCATGACGCTGACCTTTATCAATTTCTTCATGAACCGAGCAGGCGTGGCCCTGCCCACGCTGGCCGCCGCCGCTGCCTGCCGCGACCCCAGGTTCTGAAAGCAGCTCCCCGTGCCGAGCAGGTCCTGGGGACGCCACTTTTGCAGACAGACAGGTCCTGGTCGAACCAGCCATGCCTCCCAGATGGGGTCGGAGGATCGAGCCGCATCGGCGGTGCATCGTCGATGCGGTTCGATTCGCAGCTCGATATTCTCCACCCCGACGTCGCCGATGCATCGCACACGTCGCTGATGCATCGACGAAGCATCGCCGATGCGGCCAGATCCTTCGACCCATCTAATCTTAAGTCGGGCCTGCCCCTTTACAAGAGGAGTATTCAAACTAGTCTAGGGAGTTTGCTTTCCCTACCTAGGCTCTGCCTAGAAGGGTTCTTACTCGGTTTGCTTAAAGGGCCGGGCAGTGGGGCCCGCCCCGGGCGGTTCCCCCGGCATCCGCTCCGCGGTTCCCCCAGTGACGTTTCTTTAGCTTAGCGTTGCTTATCTCATCTTAGCTTAGCTTATTTCATCTTAGCTTAGCTTAGCTTCATCTTAGCTCAGGTGTATCTTACCTTATCTTACCTTCATCTTAGCTTCTCTGAGCTTTAGCATAGCACAGCACAACATATCATAGCAGAGCGTAGCACAGCACAGCGCAGCACAGCATAGCGCAGCATATCATAGCAAAGCCTAGCATAGCACAGCATAGCGCAGCATAGCATAGCATAGCATAGCATAGCGCAGCACATCACATCGCAGCATAGCACCGCGCAGCACAGCAGAGCACAGCATAGCACAGCAGCAAAGCAAAGGCAAAGCAACAGCAGCGACAGCAAGGCAAAGCACAAGCAACGCAAAGCAAAGCAAACACAAAAGCAAAAGCAAAGCAAAGGAAAGGCAAAGGAAAAGCAATGTGCGACAGATGCCGAGCTGGCCTCGATGGCCGGACCGGAGCCCCCGCAAGCAGTGCCTTCCGTAACCATTTCGGCTCAAGTCTTAGTTTTAGCTTAGCTTTACTGTTACTTCTAATGCTGCTTTCCTAGGGGCTCCAACTCCTAGGTAGGGTCGCACTGGGATAGTGATGAAAAATGTATATTTACATATTGTTGATTATTTATCAGAGTGAGGGGGCCGAACGGACATTCATTGTCCCCAGGTGCGTAGCTGAATAGGGAATGTGTGGTGAAAATTATGCATGTTGCGTTGTTGTTGTTGTTGTTGTTGTTGTTGTTGTTGCTGTTGCTGTTGCTGTTGCTGTTGTTGTTGTTGAACTCTCATTCTTGAAGAATAAGTATTGTTGATCACCCCACACAGGTGCACATTGATTTGTTTCAATTGAAGTGCCCCCCTTTTGGTCAAAGAAAGTCTTCCTGCTCAAACTGGCCCCCTGCCCCCCGGACTGCAACAACAACGGCTCCCGCCTGAGACGTCCTCACAATTTAGCAAGGACCCCCGCTCCCGCCCGAGACTTCCTCGCATTTTATTCAGGAATCGCGCTCTCGCTTGGGACTTCCTTACAATTCATTCACGAATCGCTCTCCCGACCCTCTGGAGTCGCGCTTTCGCTGGAGACGTGCTTGCAATTTACTGAAGAATAGCGCCCTTGCGTTGGAATTTCTTGCAATTTACTCCAGCGCCGCGCTCCCGACACCCAGGCACCCAGGAGTCGCGCTCACGCTTAGGATTCCCTTACAGATTACCTAGGATCTCGCTGCCCTTCGTGACCCCGTTGCAGCCCTTCGTGACCCCCTCGCTTTGTTTCGTGGCCCCGCTGTAGCCCTTCGTGGCCCCCTCGCTTTGTTTCGTGGCCCCGTTGCAGCCCCTCGTGGCCTCCTCGCTGCCCTTCGTGGCCCCGCTGTAGCCCTTCGTGGCCCCCTCGCTGCCCTTCGTGGCCCCGTCGCAGCCCCTTCGTGGCCCCCATCGCTACCCTTCGTGGCCCCGTCGCAGCCCTTCGTGGCCCCGTTGCAGCCCTTCGTGGCCCCGTCGCTGCCCTTCGTGGCCCCGTTGCGGCACTTCGTGGCTCCCTCGCTGCCCTTCGTGGCCCATATATGTATGCCCTTCGTGGCCTCCGCTCGTTCGCGCCCGTGGTTGCCTGATATGCATGCCCTTCGTGGCCCCCTCGCTTTGTTTCGTGGCCCCGTTGCTGCCCTCAGTGGCCCCGTTCTTACCCTCCGCGGCCCAAAATACGTATGCCCTTCGTGGCCCCCGCTCGGTCGCGCCCGTTGTAGCCCCATGTGCATGCCCTTCGTGGCCCCGCTGTCGCCGTGTGTGGCCCCCATCACTGTCCTACGTGGCCCAATTGCTACCTTCAGTGGCCCCATCGTTGCCTTCTGTGGCCTCGCATTATCTGCCTTTCGTGGCCCCCGCTCGTTCGCGCTCTTCGTGGCCCCATACGCATTCCCTTCGTGTCCCCGCTGTCGCCCTTCGTGGCCTACTTCGTGTCCTTCGTGGCCCTGCTGTCGCTCTCTCTCGTTCTCGCTTTCGCTCGTCGTCGTCGTCGCCGTCGTCGTCGTCGTCGCCGTCGCCGTCGACGTCGTCGTCGTCGTCGTGGTCGGTCCCCTGTCCGTCCCTTTGGGGGTCGGGTCGACGGTCCGCGGCCGCCCCGCCGATCAGCGCTGCCGCTGGCCAGGCCGACGGTACGCGGCCGCCCCGCCGCTTGCCGGGGCCCGGCCTGCAGGGAAGAAAGGTACACCCCCCAAAAGGGGTTCGATCGAAGACGGCGGGTATCGAGGGTTTGGGAAATACGCGTTATTGGACACTCGAGCAGATAAAGGCGAACAGTCTCAAAATGATTGTTGTTGTTGTTGTTGATGTTGTTGTTGTTGTTGTTGTCGTCGTCGTCGTCGTCGTCGTCGTCGTCGTCGTCGTCGTTGTTGTTGTTGCTGTTGTTGTTGTTGTTGTTGAACTCTCATTCTTGAAGAATAATTATTGTTGATCACCCCACACAGGTGCACATTGATTCGTTTCAATTGAAGTGCCCCCCCCGGGGCTCGCACCTTGTTTTTTGTCAAAGAAAGTTTTCCTGCTCAAACTGGCCCCCTGCCCCCCGGACTGCAACAACAACGGCTCCCGCCTGAGACGTCCTCACAATTTAGCAAGGACCCCCGCTCCCGCCCGAGACTTCCTCGCATTTTATTCAGGAATCGCGCTCTCGCTTGGGACTTCCTTGCGGTTTATTCAGGGATCGATATTCCTGTGCTCTGGAGTCGCGTTCTCGCTGGCGACTTGCTTGCAATTTACTGAAGAATAGCGCCCTTGCGTTGGAATTTCTTGCAATTTACTCCAGCGCCGCGCTCCCGACACCCAGGCACCCAGGAGTCGCGCTCACGCTTAGGACTCCTTCACAGACTACCTCAGACTCAGGATCTCGTTTTGTTTCGTGGCCCCGCTGTAGCGTTTCGTGGCCCCCTCGCTTTGTTTCGTGGCCCCGCTGCAGCCCTTCGTGGCCCCCTCGCTTTGTTTCGTGGCCCCGTTGCAGCCCCTCGTGGCCTCCTCGTTGCCCTTCGTGGCCCCGTTGCAGCCTTTCGTGGCCCCTTCGCTTTGTTTCGTGGCCCTGTTGCAGCAGCAGCCCTTCGTGGCCCCCTCGCTGCCCTTCGTGGCCCCGTTGCAGCCCTTCGTGGCCCCGTTGCAGCCCTTCGTGGCCCTCTCGCTGCCCTTCGTGGCCCCGTTGCAGCCCTTCGTGGCCCCCTCGCTTTGTTTCGTGGCCCCAGATATGTATGCCCTTCGTGGCCCCCGTTTGTTTGCGCCCGTGGTGGCCCCATATGCATGCCCTTCGTGGCCCCGCTGTCGCCCTTCGTGGCCCCCCGCTTCCCTCCGTGTCCCCGTTGCTGCCTTCAGTGGCCCCGTCCGTACCCTCCGCGGCCCAACATACGCATGCCCTTCGTGGCCCCCGCTCGGTCGCGCCCGTTGAGGCCCCATGTGTATGCCCTTCGTGGCCCCGCTGTCGCCGTGTGTGGCCCCCTCATTGTCCTACGTGGCCCAGGTGCTACCCTCAGTGGCCCCATCGTTGCCTTCTGTGGCTCGCATTATCTGCCCTTCGTGGCCCACGCTCGTTCGCGCTCTTCGTGGCCCCCATACGCATTCCCTTCGTGTCCCCGCTGTCACCCTTCGTGGCCTACTTCGTGTCCTTCGTGGCTCTGCTGTCGTTCTCTCTCGCTTTCGCTCGTCGTCGCCGTCGCCGTCGTTGCCGTCGTCGTCGACGTCGTCGTCGTCGTCGTCGTCGTGGTCGGTCTCCTGTCCGTCCCTCTTGAGGTCGGGTCGACGGTCCGCGGCCGCCCCGCCAATCAGCGCTGGCCAGGCACGGTCCGCGGCCGCCCCGCCGCTTGCCGGGGCCCAGCCTGCAGGGAAGAAAGGTATACCACCCAAAAGGGGTTCGATCGAAGACGAAAAGGGCGGGTATCGAGGGTTTGGGAAATTCGCGTTATTCGACGCTCGAGCAGATAAGGGCGAACAGTTTTAAAACGATTGTTGTTGTTGTTGTTGTGGGTGGTGGTGGTGGTGGTGGTGGTGGTGTTGTCGTCGTCGTCGTCGTTGTTGTTGTTGTTGTTGTTGTTGAACATTATTCCTTCTAAAGAATTATTATTGTTGGGACCCCTGGTGCGCGACCTCTGCGCCGCGCCTAGGCCGCAGCTACATTTTCATCATTTTTTCGCGAAAGCTTCAGAAAAGTGGATGAGCTCCGGATCCGGTTTTTTGTTGACGCTCGTTTTCCCTTGCAAAAAACAATAGAAAATGAAAATTCTTGTTTTTACTTGATCAAATTGCAAGAATCCCTTGCAAAAAATAAGGTAAAGTGGACATTCGTGCGCGCAAGACGAAATCCTTCCAAAACCTTAGGTTTCGTAGCGATTTTAACATAAAAACATCAAAAACCCAATGGTTTTCTCAGAAAAAATTGTCAAAATGTCCTTCCGCGCGCTCTTGCGGATTCCTAGGAAACCCACCAGATTTTAAACATTTCTGTTAAAAGGGCCTTTGCGAGGAACCTTTTCAGGTGCTTCGACCTTCTGCAACAACGGTTGCGAGCCTACGAGGGCCACCATCCCTTGCAAAAAATGACACGAAGTGCACATGCGCGCGGCCGCCGCGCGCGCGTGCCGAAATCCTGCCAAACATAATGTGATTTCAATAATTTCAAGATGCGATGTTCCGAAAACATATGCAAACGCAAGACTTTCTCATCCGAAAAATATCAAAATCCACCCGCGGGCTCTTCATGAATCTTTAAAACCCACGATCGTCCGCGCGCCACGAAGTGAAGTGTCCTGACGTCATAGGGCGGGAAGCTGGGTGTGGGTGGTTCCCGAGAGTCGTGTGGATGTTTGGTAGAGCTTGCATTGCCCCCCCACGAAGTGGGGGTATTGGCTGGCGTCGCATGAAAACCCTGGCACTGGGGAGAACACTGAGCGTTCGGGTAAAATGATTGTTGTTGTTGTTGTTGTTGTTGCGTCGTTGTCTTTGTTGCTGTTGTTGCTGTTGTTGTTTTTGTTGTTTTTGTTATTGCTGTTGCCGTTGCTGCTGTTGTTGTTGTTGTTGGTGGTGGTGTTGTTTTGGTTGTTGCTGTTTGGTGTCATCGTCCCACCCGCGACCCACCCGCGACCCACACCGCGACCCACCCCGCGACCCACCCCGCGCCCCGCCCCGCGACCCACCCGCGACCCACCCCGCGACCAACCCCGCGACCCACCCGCGACCCACCCCGCGACGCAACCCGAGACCCACCCACCCTCCAGGGAGGAGAAGCTACCCGGACCTGACAATGGACGTTTACGGAACGGCCTTGGGCGTGTGCGCCCTGCCCCGTTCGATCCGTTCCTCGCGTGCGTTCACTGAACGGCTTCGCTTGCCGGGGGTGATTTTTATGGGGTGGACGTTCTGCCCGACCCACCCGCGACCCATTTGCGACCCACCCGCGACCTACCCACACATAGGTTGTAACGAAAAAGTCGGCGCCTGCGGCGGCGGGCTCGCTGCATGATGTTTGGAGTTTTGGCGCCTGCGGCGGGCTTCTCCAGAGTCTCGCAAACTGCCGACGTCCCCACCGCCCCCTTACTCTTACCCGCATCTGCGGGGTGCTACGTTTTTTGTCAATATATATATATATATATATATATATATACACATATGTATATATACACATTTGTCGTTCGAAATCCGCCTGTAGGAGGACACGCCGGACCTGAAACCACTCGGACCCCCATCTCGGAGGTTTCTGCATGGGCGTCTGCTGACGTCGGTCATCCAGCAGGCACCGTCCTGCTCGCTCCGCTCAAGGGGCTGCCGCCCGCTGCCCGCGGCCCGCGCGGCGAACGCGCGCGCCGTGATCCTCTCCGACGCGGAGTGTGGGGCCTCACCATTGCTTGGGGGATTGGCCTTCGGAGGCCCCGAGCTGGCCAGACGCATCCGTGTCTATCCGCCTGCCGAGGTCCTCGAAGATCGCTCCCCCAGGCGGTGGTCTTCGGGGGCAGCGTTTGTGGGGGATGGGTTCAGGGGGAACTGCATCGACCCCCAGTCGCCCACTCATCGCCGATAGTGGCCTGGTAACCCGTCCCGCCTAGGAATGTGTGGTCTAGCTATTTGGGGTCTATTGCCGATCTATCGGTGCTGTAACGCCGATTCCAGGTCGATGTTTCCCCCCTGAGCCAGTTCCCCCTTCACATGGAACCTCAGGTGACGGATAAGCCCCCGCCTCGTGTCCGCCGTCTGCCCCGAAGTGGTCGGTGCACGGGCCCCTTTGAGAGCAGGGGGCAGCGAGTTGGAAGCGCCGCGAGGTCCGCTGATACGTAGCACCCCGCAGTTGCAGATAAGAGTGAGGGGGCGGGCGCGGGCGACGCGGGCGTCGAGCCGTTCACTGAGCGTTGTTTGGTTCGTTCAGTGAGAGTTCAGTGAACGTAAATTGGATCGTGGGTGGGTCGCGGGCTCTGCACCTCCACCTGGAAGGAATTCAAAAACAGCCTGCCGCAGGCGCCGAAAATTTTGATTTGTACACTGAACGCGGTTTGGGTCGCAGGTTTCCCACTTGGAACGAATGCAAAAGAAACCCGCCGCAAGAGCCGAAATTTTGGGTTGTTCAGTGAACGTAGTTTGGGTCGCGGGTGGGTCGCGGGCTCACCACCTCCACCTGGAAGGAATTCAAAAGCAGCCCGCCGCAGGCGCCAAAATTTTGATGTGTACACTGAATGCGGTTTGGGTCGCGGGTGGGTTCCAGGTTCTCCACCTGGAACGAATGCACTAGAAGCCCGCCGCAGGCGCCGAAATTTTCGGGTGGGTCGCGGGGTGGGTCGCGGGTTGGGGTCGCGGGTGGGGTCGCGGGCGCGGTTTGGGTCGCGGGTGGGTCGCAGGTTTTCCATTGGGAACGAAAGCAAAAGAATCCCGCCGCAGGCGCCGAAAATTTCGGGTGGGTCGCGGGGTGGGTCGCGGGTGGGTCGCGGGTGGGTCGCGGGTGGTTCGCCGGTGGGTCTCGGGGTGGGTCGCGGGCGGGTCGCGGGGTGGGTCGCGGGTGGGTCGCGGCTGGGCCGCAGGTGGGTCGCGAGTGAGTCGCCGGGGGGTCTCGGGGTGGGTCGCGGGCGGGTCGCGTGGTGGGTCGCGGGTGGGTCGCGGGTGGGTCGCCGGGTGGTCGCGGGTGGGTCGCGGGGTGGGTCGCGAGTG